ACACACACACACACACACACACACACACACACACACACACACACACACAGACTCTCTGTAGCTAAAGAGAAATTATGCAATTCCTCTTCCTCGCCTCCTCCTTCGTTATTTCTTGGATTGCATCTCCTAAATATGACTGTGATAGTTTTCTGATTCCTCTCCTGGGAGGCGTTTGATTAAATCATTGTGTTGAGTTGAGATGTGTTGGTGTTTAGATCTGACAGCATTCAGAAGTAGGGCACAGTAGGCGTCATTAGGAGGTCAGCACTCTTTCTCTTATCATTCTCTCCTCCTCTGCACTTACAGGCATTAATATTACACGAGTATGAAAGATTGAGCATTAGTCCTCTGAATGTATTTGTTCATTTTTCTGTCTGTGATTTAGTTTAAGAGATGATAATCGTTCAGAAAAATGTTCTGAATTGGCATGATTCACAGCTGTTCTCTAACCTTGTGAAGTGCATGGAGATTTATGAAGGTTCGTTGTCACATGCTTTAGCCAGTTCATGGCAATTAGTGTTCAAGCAAGTAGTCATGTAATGGATGAAGCTTTTTCAGAGAGAACTTGAGGTGCTAAGTTTTGAATTTACCCAAGCATGTGTGATATTTGAGAGGTATGACAAAGTGAAATATTGTCCGATAACAACTTAAACTGACTTCAGTTTCACAGAAAACTATCGTTTGACTTGAGACGAGTCAGAATACAGTACATGAGTCATATGTTTATGGTGCCTTTTTTCCTTTTTTTGGACATTGATAGGCCTTCTTCACTAAATACTCTATGCATGTTTCAAGCGAAAAAAATAATTTAACCATCCCTTTAACTGCTAGTGATTCTTTTTTGCTGCATAGTTTATTTTAAGAGAAGTTGGATTTCCTGTTCTGTTTTTGATCTTGCACTTGCATTTTTCTCTTTCTCAGTTCCAGCAGTAAAATCAACCCTGTCAGCTGCTCCTCGCTCAAGTTGATGTGGTCAGCAAATCAAAAGTGTGTCTGTCTTCAAGATGTCTACATTGATTCATGAATTATTCAAGCATTTACATAATGCACATAATGCACATACTGTAGATAAGAAGGCAGGTCATCAGGGTTAATGTGAGTGTGAAGTCAGAATGTATACTGTTAAAAAATTTGGGTTCGGTAACATTTCAAAATGCTTTTGAAAGAAATCCCTTATATATTTTAAAAAGTAATTTATTCCTGTGATGCAAAGCTGAATTTTCAGCATCATTACTCCAGTCTTCAGTGTCACATGATCCTTCAGAAATCATTCTAATATGCTGATTTGCTGCTCAAGAAACATTTCTGATCAATGTTGAAAACAATTGTGCTGCTTCATATTTCTGTGGAAACCATGCTGCATTTTTTTCAGGTTTCTTTCATGAACAGAAAGTTCAAAAGAACAGCAATAATTTGAAATACAAATGTTTTATAATATGTCTTTACTGTACCTTTAGAGATGATCAGAAGAGGAGGGGGAAATATATATATATATATATATATATACACACACATATATACATAAATGTAATTTAAATTTTTGTTTAATTATTTAAATTTTTTTTAAACTGAACACTTTTTAGAATAATACAGTTGGATACTGTAATGCAACAATTTGGCCCACGGCCCTCAGTCAAGTTTGATTTTTGGCCCTTCGTATTAAAAAGTTTGCGCACCTCTGCTTTAGATCAGTATAATGCATTCTTGCTTTAAACAAGTATTAATTTCTTTAAAAAATATCTCTGACCCCAAACTTTTGAATAGTAGTGTATTTAAAATACATTGGTCAATTCAAAAATTAAATGTTAGTTTCAATATTTCATCAAAATTTAAAACTTGCCCCACCCTGAACCAACTTAACTCTCTTGCTGACAACAAATAGGTTGTGTGGGCTGTTAGTGTAGTCAAAGCCAATTCGGCAGTGAGGAGAGAAGTCCACCGTTCACAGTCCACTGCAAACTCAAATACCTCTAGTCCTACTTGAAAGAGTTTGCTGGGTGATTTCCAGGCCAGTCTGACAGTACAACACAGACTGTGATTAATAATATTAGCAATGTTGAGCAGTGCTTACATATTGATCATTCTTTTTTCAGTCAAATAGTGTATTATCCATCAAAACTCCCCTATGGTTCTGGGTGGACAGATGATTAGTTAGCCATTGCAGCTAAATCTTCTGCTATTCATGTTCATAACTAATGTCAATGTTCTGAGCCTGTCAGTTCAGAAAGCAATTCTGAGGAAAATTAAAAAGGGAATGTTATGAAAATAAAAGCTGATGGTTTGGCTTAAAAATAGAGGGCCAATTCCTAAAGGGATAGTTACAGTTGTTATGAACCTCTTTGGCTTTAAAAACATCTCTTGTTGATATTTTCAAGCATGCCATACCCAGATTTCTACCGCCTCAGTGTCTGACAAAGCTGTAGATAAGTCAAAAGAGAGCCGTTTTATGCAATGTGAATCATACCGACACAACATTACTGTCAACATGGGAATTAAACAAGAGCAAAACAGGTTAATCTTCACCTCTCTGTACTTTAGTAACCTCATACTTTGAAAGGCGACCGTTCGTAATGGATTTGTGTGATCAAACAGGCTCTTAACATGTGTCGACATTAACATCACTAGAGGTACAGGAGCGGTAAACCCTCTCAACTTCAGATTTCAGGAACAGGAAGATTCATGTCTGCCCCATTTACACAGTATGTATGTGTATCTATCTATCTTTCATAGCTAACAACATGTTAGAACATGCTAACAACATGCTAGATCATGATAGCACCTTGTTAAAACTTGCTAGCCATGTGCAAAAACCTGCTAGCAATGTGCTAACCCATGCTTACTGTGCTGAAACACACGTGATGTGTGCAAAAACATGCTAGCAACATGCATAAACATACAGCAATGTATTAACAGTGTTTAAACATGCTAGCAACTTGTTAGCCTACATGTTAAAATATGCTAGCAATGTGCTAAAACATCCAAGTAATGTGTTAAAACATGCTAGCAGTGTGGCAAAACATGTTAGCAATGAATTAAAACATTCTGGCAATATTTTTATTCTCTGACTTCTCTGAGTAAAACCTTTAAACTTAAAGCTTAAAGTTATTTTAAACTCTTTAAACATTCTTAATGCCATGTTGTTTTGTGATTTGCTAACTTTTGTGATCTGATTCTACACATGATTACAAAAATGATAAGAGCCTGGAATGAATAAGAGGGTTTATTCATCTAGACTGTATTTTTGGAGCCGAAATGTGCTATAAATTTAGCACAAACTAAAATAACTGCCTTGTTGATGATGTTCACACATGCTAGCAGTGTGGCAAAACATGTTAGCAATGAATTAAAACGTTCTGGCAATATTTTTATTCTCTGACTTCTCCGAGTAAAACCTTTAAACTGTTTAAACATTCTTAATGCCATGTTGTTTTGTGATTTGCTAACTTTTGTGATCTGATTCTACACATGATTACAAAAATGATAAGAGCCTGGAATGAATAAGAGGGTTTATTCATCTAGACTGTATTTTTGGAGCCGAAATGTGCTATAAATTTAGCACAAACTAAAATAACTGCCTTGTTGATGATGTTCACATGTGTCTCTGTGACAATGAAGTCATTCACTGCTCTGTCCCATCAGATTAAGGGCAATTCTTCCCTTTCAAGAATTAAATTAAAATGAGCAACATTTAACAAATCTTTTGTAAGAAAAAAAAAAAATCTTATTTATTTTCAGTATTTTATTTGCAGCTGAAAAATCATATTTTCCCATATCAGTCTCCAGGACTGTTTTTAAAACAGGTTTGGCCAAGAAAGAGTGTCATAGTTATAGTAAACTGAATTGGAACATGTTAAAACAGCTCAATTAATCCAAGAAGTTGGTCTTCATTAGCAGCGCAAACAGCATCAGGAGAAGCGTTTGAACCTCTTTCTTTTTCATTGCTCTTTCTGGAAATCCTTCGCTTTATCCGCCATTCATCACTTCTCACTTCACAGAGCTGCTTTGCTCTGAAGTCTTTGAAAGCACATTAAGCTCCCCAAAACAGACTACACTCTCATTTTGACTGAGTTTATTAATGTAATCATAATCATTTTGATGCTTTCTATGCGTAATATTATAAATAAATGTCCCCTCATGCATATAAAACAGATTTTTAAATTACTCTGTGTGTTATACAGATAGATGCTCAAAAATATGTCAGGAAAATGTATTTACATAAATATATTTGGTAACACTTTACAATAAGGTTAATTTAGTTAATGTTATTTGAACAAACAATGAACAATACATTTATTACAGTATTTATTCATCTTTGTTCATGTTAATGAAAATACAGTTCACTGTTAGTTCATGTTAATTCACAGTGCATTAACTAATGTTAACAAGCACAACTTTTGATTTTAATAATGTATTAGTAAATGTTGGCTAACAGTAATAAATGCTGTAGAAGTATTGTTCATTCTTAGTTCATGTTAACTACTAATGAACCTTATTGTAAAGTGTTACCATACTGTATATGTTAATACATTTTATATTTTATTTCCCTATTTTGTTAAATATTTTAAAATGTGATGGTTTAAACACTTGAACGATGGAAAGACTAAGAATTAATTTTTCATTAATTGTGATGAAGACTGAAAACTGTGTCAGTGTTCCACAAAGACATGAATAAACCTTGTTTCTGAAGTGATGTGCAAAGTGTTTTACAGTCCATCACATGAATAGCCGGGGGTCGTCATGAGGGAGAGCAGAATGAAGTGGTGGTGCTTATTAAATAAATATGAGGCAAACATCAAACTGCGCTTTTAAACGCCTCTGAAAGAGGAACTGCTCCAGAAGCACAGAAGTACCTGTGATGTGCTCTTCTCTCAGGTGAGCTCTGCTCCAGTGACCCGCAAGAAATGTGGAGGTAAAAATAAAAACTATTCTCTGCTCACTCATTTTATTTATTTTTTTACAGACATAAACTTTTTTGGAAAGTGAACACATTGCTCACTAAAAAATCTGTCAGTGATCAAAATACAGGTTAACAGGTGGTAAACTATTTGCTTTTAACTCACAGTATTTCATCTTTCATATAGTATTAAAAATAAATCAAGATTAGTTTTAGAATTATTACTCAGAATTTTTTTTTTTTTTTTTTTTTAAATCATAACTTTCATACTTTTTTGCTTTTATAGGCCTGTTAAAAAGTCATGACTATTTATGAAAAACGTTATCAACGTGATAGGAAGGGAAGGAATAAAGTATTTTAGCGCCATCTGTTGTTTCTAAACATGCAGCAAGCAGCTTGTCAATGGTTAATTAAAATGATTTTAATCATCACAATCGTGATAATCAGTTATTGAAACCTGCAGTGTCTTTTAGATCGTCACAGATCAGAATATAGGCTATATATAAGGAAATAATAGAACACAAACAAAGATATATAGGATTTTCCCTCATTTTTAACATTTCCCATTCTCGTCGTTCTCCAGTGAAGTGGCATAATTTTATTTTTTTTGTGATTTAAAAAAAAACAGCTAACTTAATCCCTCATGTTTGACCGGTTAAAACCATATTCTGAAGATGTTTTGTTTAAAACATTTGGATAAGAGCCAGAAGAAACACCAGTAGGCCTATTTCACACTAAATTGACTTTCATTGGAGCCAATATGTAAAGTTGACATTGTGACAAAAGAACGCAAATGATTTTCGTCTTTTGAAAGTGTGAGTTAAATATTTTATCCAATCTATTAATATGATATAGGAACGTAATATAGGAATGGCGGACCAATAGAAACGCTGCTCTCTACCCTAAAACTACATTTCCCAGAAGGCCTTGACACAGGAAGCGGCGTCACTGTATCGGTTGCGCTGCTACGTGTTCGGAAAAGGCAGGAAGTTGACATGTCACCGTTGCTGCATTGTTTTTTACACACTGATTAAAAAGAGCTTTGCTTTATAAGTTGCTGATACTGCTGCAGAGCAGGTGAGTGTCATATTTGTACACAGCGAGCAGGAGCGACATGGTAGCTAACATGTTTACCAGGTTATTATGTGGGATCGAGGCCCAAGTACCAGCATTACCACTCTAGTGCTTTTGGTAGTACGTTGTTTTTCTTCATAAAGCATCACCTTTCACCGAGATATTAAGAATGGCTAATTTGCTTTTAAAACAGTGATTTGAGTTTGCTGTAATGTTAGAGCTACTGTAGCATTGCTGTCAGTTGTGCTGTGTAAAGCAAATAAGAGTAACAGGACTGATCTTGGATCAGCTCTACATGTTTACATAGGCAGGTTATATTTATAGGAAGCAGAAAAACTGACTATACATTTGATTATGAAGCGTAATTCTTGATGATAGAGTACAGTTCAGGCTGATTTCTTTCAAACTAAATTCATGGAGAGTTAATAGATGTAGCTTTCAAACAGGGACAGATCTACTGTGCTGCCTACTTCAGCACTTACTGTAATGAAATTGTAATTACGTTTGACTTGTCAAAACAGAATAAGCTGTAATTGTTGAAAATTCAGCCACATAATTTATTCCTAATGTGATTTAGCAATAAATTTAGGAAGGTTCGTGTGTTATACTTGGGCTTCTGTTTTCATGATATCAATCAGAAATGAATAGATCTTTCTCTGATTTGCCCAAATGTTTATTTGCAGCCTTGATGTGTTTGTAATAACTAAATTTCTCTCTCTCATCCCACAACAGTATGTTGCCAACGAGTTCCCCGCAGATCCACCGGAACGGCAGTCTGAGCGCGCGGGATGCAGCACGTCACACGGCCGGCGCCAAGCGCTACAAGTACCTGCGGCGAATCCTGCATTTCAGACAGATGGATTTTGAGTTTGCCATATGGCAGATGCTCTACCTGTTCACATCACCGCAGAAAGTGTACCGCAACTTCCAGTACCGCAAACAGACTAAAGACCAGTGGGCCCGGGACGACCCTGCGTTCCTGGTGCTGCTCAGCGTCTGGCTGTGTGGTGAGCACTTTTGACGGAAACATGGGAAGGGTTTAGAAATGAAACTTGTATCAGCTCACTAATCATGTTTTCTCTGCAGTGTCGACGGTGGGCTTCGGTCTGGTTCTAGAAATGGGTTTTGTGGAGACGCTGAAGCTGTTGCTGTGGGTTGTTTTCATCGACTGCGTCGGAGTCGGATTGCTCATATCTACACTCATGTGGTGAGGAGCCACACTCACTCACAAAGACTGCCAAAAATGTGTCTATTTTCCTAAATGTTGACCTTGCTGATATGGTATTGATTCAGTTTTTTAAGTTATGGGTTTTTCCTTTTTTTTATTATTATTAATTTCAGAATAAGGTCAATGATCCATCTTAATTGCAAAGAGATATTTACATTTTTAAAAGTTTACATTATCATAAAATAAAACTGGACAGGGTGGTTATGACCCCAGCACAAAGCAATGTTGTTATCATTAACTGAAACTAAAACTATTTTTGTTTTTGGTAATTGAAATATGGCTGAAATAAAGTTAAATATAAATGTTGAATACGAAACTTAAACTTTAAAAACTAAAATAAGTAATGTTGCCTTGGCAACTGATTGAAAAAGGTTTGTAAGTTAAAGTACTCAAAATTGGTAAAACTGAAATAAAAATTAAAACTTATAAATAATTTAAAAAATTTTTACAAAAAAGTAGACATTTTTTAAATAAAATAAAATATAAATATTGAATGAAAAATTAAACTTCAAACAAAAACTGCAGCAAACTGAAATAAGTACATTTAGGTTAAAGTGCTAAAATTTATAAAACTGAAATAAAAAATGAAGTTAAATAGAAATAAAAAAAAAACCCAAAATTAATAAAAAAGGCAAAAGCAAATGACAAAGTGACTAAAACTAAAATTAAAATGAAAACCAAAAAAAAAGTGTTTTAATAAATGCTATAACATATAAATACTACAAAAATAAAAAAATAATTATAATTATATATATATATATTTTTTTTTTTGACTGGCTAACCGTACGTACAATACATAATTTCTTAATAAATAAATGGACATGGAATATTGATCTGACTTATTTTGTTTTTATTGTTTTAATCAGTTGTCTGGGGTTGCCAGATTGTACAGTTTAGTGGTTATTATACAATAATGTTTGCTGTGACTGACCAGTCAGAATCAAGTACTTTATATAATGATAATAATGACAATATATCAGACAAATATAATAATAGATAATATATAATAACATAATGGATGATGTAACAATGGTAATAAATCAGTTTAATTTACTAGAATAAGTCATGAAGAGTTTTTACTGTAACACTGTACAGTAATCCCTGTTTTTCTTCTTCTTCAGGGTTGTCACAAATAAATATCTAATGAAACATCCTAGCAGAGATTACGATGTGGAGTGGGGCTATGCGTTTGACGTCCATCTAAACGCTTTCTACCCTCTCCTGGTCATTCTGCACTTTTTACAGCTGTTCTTCATCAATCGTAAGTAAACAGGTGGATGCATGTGTGTAATAATGAACTGGGACTTTGTGAACACATCTTTTGTGCTTTCTTAACAGATGTTGTGGTCATAAGTTCAGACTGGTTCCTGGGTTATTTTGTGGGAAACACCTTGTGGCTTATTGCAATCGGTTACTATATTTACATCACATTCCTGGGCTACAGCGGTAAGTGATGTGATCTCCGGTTACGACCATGTGTTTTCTGACATGTATCTACAAGCTGAACATTGTCTCTGGTTTTCTCCCCTTGTTTCTTTAGCACTTCCGTTTTTAAAGAACACCGCGGTGCTTCTGTATCCCTTCGCTTTGCTCGGACTCCTGTATGTTCTCTCCATTTCGCTCGGCTGGAACTTCACTAAAGGTCTGTGCTGGTTCTACAAGCACAGGGTCCAGTAAAGGACAGCAAAACACATGATGGAGAGTGTGCTGTCGCTCTTGGGACTTTCTGACTTTTTGTATAATCTGTAAATATCAGTTTGGTTGTAGAGGAAAAGAATTTCAATTGTTTATGGTGTCATGAACCGTTTCTTTTTCTTCGTTTGATACTCAGCCCTCATTTAATGTCGTGACGTGGATTTGAAAATGCAAACATGGGGGAAAGTTTCAGTGTCTGATATGATGCTGCGCTTTTTACTTGTGTAAATGTGTACAATAAAGATATTTTTAAAGAAACAGATTTTTAGTTGGTTCAGTGTTGTCCTGTAATTTATTTTGAGATGCATGAAATGTAAGTGCATGCATATGGTTTCGATCACATAAAATACATTCTCCCATTGGCAGCTGCATATATGGTGATATATTCAGGTGGTTTTTTGACAACTGTAAGGGATTCTCTTTTCTTTTCTTATTAGGTTGGCTTGAGAAAGTCAACCTACAGGGGTTAGGCGCAACAGACTTGCGTATTCTGTTAACCGGGTCTCGTGGCTTTCGGTTCAAGCGTTTTGCATATGCTTAGTTAAATATGAAGCAGTTTTACTTAAGATGCCTTCAAAGTAGATACCAATGATGATCATAACCAATGTCCATTACATATGCGAACTGATATCTAAAAGTTTTTTTATTCTTATTTTTTTCACTAATATTTAGATATAAAAATTGAATAAAACGTCAACAATAAAAATAGCTAGCTAGTTTAACATTATCTTAAAAGTCCATAGATATTGCTATTTAATACGGCTGTTAACACGTTCTCCGACAAGAGGAAACGATGAGACCTGTTTTCCGGGTTTGGTCAGGTGACGTTCGACATATACCCTACTGATCTGCTATTTAAGCTGCTTCTTCTTCTTCTTTGACTAAATTTCTAAATGCTACTCCTAGAGTTTTCAAGCTACAACCACCAAACTCAGCCCAGATCTTCAGACTGTTCTGACTGTGGTTGCTTTATCTTTTCAGACTGATCTGACTTAAGGTTTTCATAAAACTGAAGATTAAAAATCTATCTATCTATCTATCTATCTATCTATCTATCTCAGTAGCCAAGCCTAGCAACTAGCCTAAGACTTGCCATCAATGTACTAATTCATGTTAACAACATGCTTTGTTCTGTCACTGTCATTCTGTTACACTGTGGAAGCTTCTGGCACGAAAACAAATTCCTCGTATGTGTAAACATACCTGGCAATAAAGCTCATTCTGATTCTGATGCTAATAATCATGGTAGCGATGTGTTAAAACATGCTAGCAGTGTGTTAAATCATGCTAACAATGTGTTAGTCACATGCTAATCATGCTAGAAACATGTTAGCAACATGCTAATCATGTTAGAAACATGCTAACAAAATGCTAACTACATGTTAATCATGCTAACAACATGCTAATCATGCTAGAAAATTGTTAGCAGCATGTTAATCACGTTAGAAACATGCTAACAAAATGCTAACTACATGTTAATCATGCTAACAACATGCTAATCATGCTAGAAAATTGTTAGCAGCATGTTAATCACGTTAGAAACATGTTAGCAACATGGTAGTAACAGGCTAATCATGTTAACATGTTAGCAAAATGTTAATCATGTTAGAAACATGCTAACAAAAGGCTAACTACATGTTAATAATGCTAACAACATGCTAATCATGCTAGAAAATTATTAGCAGCATGTTAATCATGTTAGAAACATGCTCGCAACATGGTAGTAACAGGTTAATAATGCTAAAAACATGTTAGCAAAATGTTAATCATGTTAGAAACATGATTAGCAACATGTTAATAATTCTAGAAACATGTTATCAACATGTTAATCACGTTAGAAAAATGCTAGCAACATGTTAGTTATGCTAGCAACATGATAATCACGTCAGAAACATGCTATCAAAATGTTAACAAAATATTAATCATGTTAGCAACATGCTGGTAACTGGCTAATCATGCAAAAAACATGTCAACAACATGTTAATCATGCTAGAAACATGATAAACAACATGAGACTACATGCTAATCATGTTAGATACATGCTAGCAACATGTTAACAACACGCTAATCATACTAGCAACAGGCTAGTAACATGCTAACAACATGCTAATCATGCTAGCAACATGCTAATCATGTTAGAAACATTCTATCAACACCTATCTAATTTATCTAAATTTTCAAATTTCAAGCTTTTACAACTGCTTTAAACTTCAGGCTAGGCTTTCTCAGGCCAACCTAAAGTTTGTCTTGACAAACTTTTTTATCTAGTTGAATTCTAAAATACAAAACATTCCAGTAGGTTCTCAAGACATTTAACATACAACATAAACAAGGATACAATAGCAACTACAAAAAAATGTATTTTAGTCATTCTCAAGCAGTTGTGAGGTGTGACGTCACAGGTGCGCGCGCACCTCTCTAGTTCTCATCGGCCACGCGCCTGCGCGACCACACGTGACGTCAGACAGCAGCATGGCGGCCAAGGTGACTCCGGCGACACCGCGCTTTGTTATCGTTTTTTTAGCCGTCGACTTTTAATTACAGTTGCTGATTATTAACGGGAGAAGGGCTAATAGATCAGTAAATGGGATGAGTAGAGACAGCGATGAATGTTTTTTAACGGACCGGCGCGAGCATCACTGAGCTTATCGCTGCGCTCGCGCTGAGACTTTGACTGAATTTAGTGTCTGTGAGGATCATAAAACCATAAAAAAATATCAGAGTTGTGTGTTAAACAGCTTTAATCAGCTCTTTAGCAGCCTTTTTGTGTTGTTAGAGATGAAGGTTTGTTTGTAAAGTGTAGTCAGACGTGTGAGGATCATGCAGTGTGGGCGAAATCGGGCTCATTTTATTCTGCAGGGACTTGGCACTTCATGTGTGTTTGTGTTGAGTGATTAGTGACTGGTTATTTTGTGTGCTGTAAAAATTAAGTTCATTTAGTTTTGCATACATTCTGTGCCAGACAGTCCCAATAATGCTGAATGTGCTCTCAAAGATCATTTGATATGTACATCAGCATTTGGGAATAAATGCAATTTTGAACATTAGAAAAGGTATTCGTTCATTAAAACCTTTTCTGAGAAACATTTAATAGATGCAGATAGTTCTGTAAAACATGCAATATATTTCGCTAAATGTGGTGGTGGTTTTGTGGCTATAATTATAGATCGTAGCTCTTTATTTCATCTTTATAGTGTCATTTAACCTTATTGTTATTCTGTGCTGTTGTCATTCTGCAGGTGCAGTTAACCAAAAGGGCCGACCCTAATGCGCTGAAGGTCATCTTTCAAAAGGTAAGTTTAAACAGCAGAAACCCTTGATTTGAAAGCCTAATCCTTTACACTGCAGTCAATTCCAATGAGAAACTGCAACCTTAGAAGCCACCGTAGATAGTGTCATTGCCTGTCATTAAATCTTTATTTCCTTAGTGACGCTGCAGTTTTAATTGTCACTCTGTTGTCTCCTTTTTTCCAAAGCAGCTCAAAGAGACTGGCATGCTCGAGAAAGTCTAGACACTTGTGTGCGTTTGTGGGAAAACAGTTTATTGTGTGTATGCTTCATTTTCTAGCACGAATAGGGAAATTCTAATCTATGTCCCTCATTAACTGTCAGCCAGGGCTTTTTAATTGTTGTAGTGATTTGTGATCACGTCCGCCTTTGAGATTCTCTGTCAGCTGAGAGAAGCTGTTTCTTGCGCCGCTTTGGTGTCTGGTAACACAGAGACTTGCGTGCGATGTGGCTCTATTAATAGGACTCAAGCCTGTGAGATGGATGTTTGGAGGAAGACATGAATGTCAGGGCAATAGATGGATGAGTGAAGAATGTCTCAATAAGGTCAGGGGGCATCTCGCTTTAGTTTTTTGATCAGCTGCTGCTGATCAAAAAATACACAACTCACATGGCACATGAATATTGTCACCTTTTCCCATTTGTCCAGCTATGCAGATGTTGGTATTTGGTAAATACAATTTCAGCTTGCATGTTGCCAACACAGTTGTCTGGAAGAAGCCGGTGTTATTTTACACAACTGACTACAGTTTTGTTTCTTAACTGTTGTCATGCATAACAACATATGATATTGATTTTCAGGTTCTTCTCTACTTTTACACAAATCATACTAGGTGCCCTACACATTAGACAAATACATCTGCACGTTTAATCATGCTTTACATCATGCTCAGATGCTGTAATTATGTTTTTGTTGTTTTCCCTCAGTATGCCAGTGTGGTGGATAAGGATGGAGAGCGGTACATGACACCCAGTGATTTCGTGCAGAAGTATTTGGGCCTCCACACACAGCTCCACTATAACCCTAAAACTGTGCAGCTTCTCGCCGGTGTGGCAGATACTACAAAAGATGGGTGAGACGAACATCATATTTCCCATCTGTGTAATCGTTCTGTATTCTAGTTCTTGATGGTTTGATATGAAGCCTAAACTTCAGCTGAAATCAAGAAATGTACCCACTTTCATTAGATTTTACATTATTTTTTGCAGTAGCAGCCAGATGATTATGGCAAAATGTAGAAAATTCTGTATTGCACATACACTACTTCTCAAACGTTTGGAGTCGGTACGATTTTTTTGAGTGTTTTTATTGAAGACTGTTTATTTGTTTAGAAATACAGTAAAAAAGAAAAATTGTGAAATGGTATTTAAAATAACGAAAATATTATTACAATAAAAAAACTTTCTATTTGAATATATTTTAAAATGTAATTTATTGCTGTGCAAAAGCTGAATTTTTAGCATCATTACTCATCAGTCTTCAGTGTCAGAATCAGAAGAGCTTTATTACCAAGTATGTTTACACACACAAGGATTTTGACTTGACGACAGGAACTACCAGTGCAGAAGAAAGTACAGACATAGTGCAGACATACATGAGAAAAACAGAAATTAAATATGTAAAATGTCACGTGAGCCTTCAGAAATCATTCTAATATGCTGATTTGCTGCTCAAGAGCAATTATTATTAACGTTAAAAAATGCTATTTATTGTTGTGGAAACATGATTTTTTTTTCAGCATTCTTAGATAAAAGTTAAAAAGGACAGCATTTATTTGAATCTTTTGTGACATTATAAATGTATTTACAGTCACTTCTGTCATTTCTGCCTTGATCTTACGCAACCTTGCTGAATAGAAGTGTTAATTTCTTTCAAGAAGTCTTACTTACCCCAAACTTTTGGTATTAAAGGGGTCATATGATGTTGCTAAAAAGAACATTATTTGGTGTATTTGGTGTAATGCA